TAGCAATGTATAGTGTATTTCTTTAAAGTTAAGACTAGTTTCAAGTTATATTCATTGAAAAGTACAGTGCTTTTCTTTCAAAAATAAGGACATTTCAATGTGACCCCAAACTTTTGAACAGTAGTGTATATAATTTAAAAATGAAATTCTACATGCATTGGTATTCAGCCCTTTTAGCTAACATATTAAACTTAGTTCAACCATTGAAGGCTTTGGAGTTTTCCTAGAAAGTATTCGTGCTTAGTGGGGGACACAGTAGATGGAACAGGAATAAAGTGTTGGAGAAGTTAAAAGCATATTTAGGTTAGCTAACAGTATCCCAAGCTTAGAAAAGCTTGCAAAGTAAAGTTCAATCATCACCTGAAATTGAAGAGTATTGCAATAAACCCTGCTGCATGCTGACAGGCTTGGCAAGGAGAGTTGGTTGAAGAATCCCGAAACCAAGACCACCCGTTCATGTTAGGACATCTGATGACTGCCCAAATATTACTTAAACACTTAACAAATAGCCTCAATGGGGGAGTGGTGCAGTATGCAAAAATGAGACCACCTTATGATGTCCATAGTCTATACTCGTTTGTCCTTTACACTATACATCACACGCCGAGAACAATAAAGATTACCCAATAATCTATCATTTGTAGTTTTGGATTGTTGGAAGAGGCTGAGTACTTGCAGGTAACCAGGCCGTTGTATCAAGGCAAGCAAACAACGCTGGCCTGGGTCCCTCAGACAATGGCTGACCTGGTTATAAACAAACAGGTTCATGGTGAAACATGCAAACACTCTGGAGAGACTCAAACTCCAGGACCATCCTACTGAAAGGTAACCAAGGTGTGTTTGTGCAGCCCACAAAGACTGAAAATTTTTACCAAGACCTTTAAGTGAGAGAAAATTAGCTTTCCTTGAAGGAAGTGTGATGGAACTTCAGGGAACAGAGGTGGCTGGTGGAAATGATTAAAATGAATGCCCAGCAATCATTGAATAAAAACTGTTAAAGCCCATGAAAGGTTGATATTAGGTCAGAAGTTCACTTCCCAGAAGGTCGGTGTCACTAAACATAGTAGTACAACTAAATAGATTAAAACATTCATTATGAGGAGTCTCATTCTTCATATAGAAATAATTCATACAACTAACATTTCTATATTATGATTTTGAATAAGTCCAAACTAGTAATTTAATCTTAACCCTTTAAAGCCTCATGTATCATATTTGATACCTGAGTTTTTGAATCGTCTGTATCATCAGTGTGATGTTTTTGTTCTTGAAACCCTCACAATCAGATACATGTAGTGAAGAGAAAACATATAAAAGATTCTATAGAAATGAGCAATATATCAAAATGTAGGCAAATAAAGGATGTAATTTAACGTATAAAAAATGTATCTTGTTTTTTCATTTGTCAGAAAGTTCAATGACAATTCCAATTTTGGAAAATTTGAATTTTCTGTCAATTATTTCATGGTTCAGGCTTTAAAGGGTTAATAAATCGGTTTGTTTCTTTTTTTGTTTTTTTTTTATAAGATGTAAATTGACACCTAACAGAAATAAAGGCTTGAAAACATTGTGTGTATAATAAGCATGTTTAAAAAGCATTAAAAATTGTGTTGTCCATGTAGAAAATTTTGAAATATTTTGGAGAAAATTAAAGATTTATTATTTGCCTCAAACTGTAAATGATTTCACAGTGTGTTACTGTTTAGCATTAACTTCAAAATGGGTGCAACAAATCCCTGGAATAGCTGGCACAGAGAAAGAGAAAAGCATTTAGATAAACCAAAGCATTGACGTGGCTCCAACTGGCCTGGGAAATTACTGTTACTGTCCTTTTACTGGATAATGACGTAAAACATTTTGCAGGGAGCAAAACCAAAAGAGCTGAGAACACAGAGTGGTAATGTTTCATAAATCACTGAATCAGTCAGCTGACTTTAACAGAAAATAGGATGCTTCTCACAAATGGAGGGAGGAAAGCCCAGAGGCCGGCTGCGCTAAAGGTTGAAAAATCACTGATCATTTGGTTATATGTTGATTTCAAAGAATTTCATTGGAACATATATTCTCTCTGTAATATATCATAAAAAGGTGAATTGGTGTTAAAAACAAATTTGCACTTAAGATTTCAATAACTTATTTTGGTGATAAAAGCATTTTGTTCACAATGTTTCAATTAACATATGTTACTGTATATGTCCAAAAGAATCTTAAAGTTAAAGTAAGTGAAAGTATGACATTAACAGTACATGGTGTAATAGAATGTGTAACATTTAGAATTTATAGAGAAAACAAGAAAAACTGCTATTATAAGTTGCTTATATAGGACCTAGAGTCTAGAGGTGATTTATATTTGATGGAAAGAAAGTTCCTGTAATAAGTAATAAAAAAATATTTTAAAGCATAGATTATGACATAGAACTGTTAAATATAAATAAGCATTAAACAAAAGACAACTTTATCAATAAAATTAATGCTTTAGGTTTATATTCAACTATAACAAAACCAAGACGAAAACTAAATGCTACCCACTGCTCAGTGGTGCAATGGATAGGACTGCTGTCTTGCAGCAAGAGAGTTGCGGATTTGATTCCCGGCCCAGGGTCTTTCTGCATGGAGTTTGTATGTTCTCCCTGAGCATATGTGGGTTCTCTCCGGGTACTCCAGCTTCCTCCCGCAGTCCAAAAACATGACTGTTGGGTTGATTGGCTTCTCTAAAAATTTCCTTAGGTGTGAGTGTGTGCATAAATGGTGGTTTATCCTGTTTGTCTCTGTGTTGCCCTGTGATGAACTGGCGACCTGTCTAGGGTCGTGACCGCTGGAGATAACCACCAGCACTCCTCACAACCCCACTTGGGATAAAGCATGTTAGAAATGGAGTGCTGTGTTGCTAGACAATATTTTTACAAATAACACAGAATCTATAAACATTAGTAGTCTAGTGATATAACTGACCATCTGCCTGTTTTTACAGTGTAATCTGAATCTGAACATTTTCAGTTTATTACAAATGAATAAGAATAATAGAAAAAACGTTTAGGGTATAATAAATAATATTATTAAAGAAAAAACACATAAAATCCAGATTGCTTTATTGATAATGATAATAGTTATAACTATAAGATTAATTAAATTGTTAATAGTTTAAATAATCTTTTGTGAACGTCAGACCAGAATTGGCAGAGAAATACCCCAAGTGTGCTGAGAAAAAAATAGAAGGTTTACAAATAGAAATAAATCTCTCCTGATAATGTTTTTGTCAGGAGTTACTGAATCAGAAAAATGAACTATCTGCTGCTTGTTTTGATATTGATATGATATTAATAAAAATAATTATCAGTAGTATCTCCAAACTCTTATATTTTTAATCTATCATTTGAAACAGGAATCTATCCAAAAAATATGGAAATAGCTAAATTAATATTACTGTATAAGTATGGAAACAAACACATCTTCACTAATTACAGGCCCGTCAAAATTTCAGAAAAACTTTTTAACAATAGATTAGATACATTTAAAGGGAAACATGATATGATATTGAAAGTCAGTACAGTTTCAGGTCAGCAAGTGAACATCCATGGCAATAACTGATGCAGTAGAAGAAATTATAAATAGTCTAGACACAAATATTCATTGACTTGAAAAAAAAAAGCCTTTGATAGTCTCAATCATTAAATTTTACTCAAATAATTGGAAAGATATGGGATTAAGGGAATGGCCTTAAGTTGGATATAAAGCTATTTAGCAGAGAGACAACAGATAAGAGAGACAAGATGGCTACATTTGAATCAGATGTCTGGGCATTAGCTGTGGGGTCCCGCAGGGATCTATATTGGGCCCAAAGCTTATTAATTTATGCATTAATGACATATTTAATGTATCCAAGTTACTAAAGATAATCCTTCTTGCAGATCAAACAAATTTTTTCTTTTCTAGTGATTTCTTGTCTCAGTGATTTGATACAAAATATCAATAATTAAATACTTAAATTAAAATATGGACATTATCCCTTCATTTAGATAACACTAAAATACAATTTTGTGGAGAACATTATGAAGAATTAAACCAAGTAACGAATATTGATGGTGTTCTGATAGAGTTGGGGTGAGAAATTAAGTTCTTAGGCATAACTATTGACAAGAAGATTAACTGGAAAGCTCACATCAGACACATAAAATCTCTTAAAGTGTCTTGGTCATTAATAAAGTTAAATATTGTTAAGACTGCATTTATTGTATTGCTCATTAGTGTTACCTTACTTAATTTACTGTATAGAAATTTGAGGCAAACTACTACAAAAGTTCAATACAACTCCTCATTATACTTCAAAAACACGCTGTAAGGGTTATACATAAAGTACGTTTTTTAGATCACACCAACAATCTATCTTTGCATTCTAAGAGGTAAATTTCTTGATCTGGTTGATTTTTATTCTGCAAAGCCAGTTTACAAAGCCAGTAAAAATGTATTACCTTCTAAAAAACATTTTTCACAAAGTGAATGGAGCTATAATCTGAGGGGCTGTGTTAACTTTACATGTCAGGCAGTGAGAACTACCAGGAAAAGTTTGTGTGTCTGCATGTGGTTTTAAAATCTACAAATATTCATGAGTTGAAATAAACATACAAAAAAAATTATTTGGTCGCAGTGCATAGCATAGGACAGTGGTAAAACTGAAATGAATGTAGTAGGATTGCATGGTATAGTATCACAACAATGGGCAGACAAAAAAAAGAAGTGAATCGTTACACTGATTTTTTTTAGGGGTATTAGTTTTAAGTTTTTGTCATTAAAACCATGTATCTCATTTTTGCTTTCATATGTTTGCCTATCGAATTAAATCAGCTCAAAATTATTTAACCTATGGTTGAATTGGTAAAGTTCAAGGTGTTTAAGTAAATCTGTAAAAAACTGTAAATAAAGACATTAAAACAAAGATTTTTCAGTATATAGGAAACCTTTTAATAAAGTATTTTTGAACTACACTGAAAACCAGGGACATGATAAATTTGTACAGAATTTATTGCACCATGTACAAAATGTACAAAACTGTAATGCAAAAACATCACAAAGTATAAGAACAAACACATAAAAAAAACAGTTTAGTTTGAAATCCTTAACAATAAAGTTATAATATCTATATACTGAACATAGAATTTAACTAGTGTTAAATAAGCTTGAAACTGGGTAACAAAAAAAAGTTTTAAATGTTCAGCATATGATTTAACCAGGGACATATATAGGTAATGTATAAACAATAACTTTATTAGGAAAGACAATTGAAAGACAGCAATTTTCTGCAGACCTCTAGGATAACGATAACATCAATTAAACAGCTTGATACCAAACACAGCAAGACAAAGTTCTACAGGTGGTTTAAGCAGATTGGCTACTTTTCAAGTAAAAATTATACAGTAAGAAACCCAAGCTCTTTGGTTGGTACAGTATTAATTAATTTTGGATTGCCTCCCCTATATCTTCTGATCAAGATTGTTAACAGAAAAAAACACTATTAAGCTTAGAAAACAGTTTTTTTGCATTATTGTGATTTGCGCAAAACCACACATGGAAATGATAATAAGTCTTCTAGAAATGATTAAAACAATCATAAAGGACAGCTTTGTAGCCTTAGAAAGAGAGACAAAGTAACAATGAGGACGGATAAATATACTGTGGATACAAGCTTTATAAATATATATTTTTTCAGGCTAAAATTGGACTGAAATAGGTTTACAGAAAGTGTTTGTGTAGCTGCATTGCTATTGTACAACATGATCAACATTTGACCTGTGTAACAGAGATCATTTGCACAAAGTTGGAGAGGTGAGGAGTAAAAAAATGAGTTAAAAAACTCAAATATTTCACAGATAAAACTTCACATTCCTCTTGTTAAAAAAAGGACACTTGGTGTTCAAAAAATGTGACCTTGGAAGAGTTTTTGTGCTCAGCAGCTCAGATCCCCACACCCTGAGCACGTGCAGAAGAGCGGCCTCAGACGTCCCATCAGAGAGAATAAAAACATCACTACTTCTGCTTCATTTCTTGAGTTTCTTCTTCATTCTCGTTCCTCTGTTTAAAAGGAGAAAGGTAGACAAAGGATCACACTCAATTTAAATGTGTGTTATGGTGAATGAACTCCTCAATTAAATATTTACGTTTTATCACAATGAAACCACAAAAGTTTTTTCATATTTTATTGAATTCTTTATACCATGCTAAAATAAATTAAAGCATATATATAACGTTTAGCTTTCATTTCAATTCGGGGCTCCACAACTTAGCCATTCCATTCCATGGCTTAAATCCATTTGCTAATTCTAACAGGTTTTCTTACATTTGGCCATCTCCCCACAGCATGATGCTGCCTAGAACATGTTTCATCATGGAGATGGTACATTTGGGGTGAAAAGGTCCCCTAATCTGACCAAAACACCTTACTTCATGTGATTTCTGAGTTTTCTACACAGTCGACCTGCAGATTTACTTACAGTTTTCTCTCAACAATGGCCTCTCTTCACATTCTCAATAAAATAAAGAAAAAATTTAGGTTGAGGTAAGACATGTAAAGACATTGACGACACAGTACTCCACCTTTGTCAAGTAGTATTGACGCCTCAGCAGGTTAGGAAGAGTGACAAACACACCAGTGACGATGACCGAAGCCAGCAGAGAGAAGAGGGCGATGCCAGAGAGAACGGACAGCAGAGTCATTCCGCCAACGAACAGAAGAAACACTAAACAGACAAATCATGATCAGTATAAAGCACAGAGAAAATTAAACAAAAGCAGATAAGAGTGGAACATTGATAACGTACCCTCAAAGAAAACAAATCCAACCACTGACATAACTATAGTAATAATAGCAAACAAAAGGAAGATCCCAACTGGTAGAGCAGCCATGGCGCTAAACAGCAGCAGTGCCAGGGCTAAGAAAGGCCGGCTGCGGAGGTACTGCCCAATCCTCGTGCTCATTACTTGTGCAAACTGTTGGAGAGAAAACAACACACTTGGAAGCTCAGCTTTGTCTAAATAAATACAGTAAACATCCCAGATGAATGAAGCAGTTTTTTTCAAATGAGGTTGAGAATTACCTTGGGATCTTCTTGAAGGCGATTCAACAAGGTCAGCCATCTCTCTCCCAGCTGTTTAGTCAAACTGCTGCTGCTGCTGCTGCGCTGCATCTCAACACACCTGAGAGGACAGAATCAACCAAACATCCATAAAACTTAGATTTATTTATGACAAGATTTAAAATCCCAAATACATCTTAGGTTCAAAGTGCAGTAAACATTAAATCACTTATATCCTGAAATAGATAAAAATTAAATCCTCCAATCAGACACCAAGTCTAAGATTTAATTGCACATATTGAAATGTCTGCTATAAAAGCTTTGATATTTGCGTAGGCATGAATGGGCTGCGCAGCTTTCAAAAGTAAACAAACCCAGAAGAGAGACGTGTTCCTGAGCACGTCTAAAGAGCTCAACCAGCTGGTTAATTACAATTATTTACTGTCTAAATCACGCTTGTTCAATTTAATTTACTCGGTAAAGACTTACTTTATCGACACCTATGCTGATTGCAACAGACCCAAACTTAAAATTTCTGTAATAGTTCTTCTGAACGTACATACCCGCGCTCCTAGTAACTGCTTTTCCCTCAGCTTCTCGCTTCCTTCAGCATAAGGCACTAAATTTTGAAGTTTCTCGCAAGATTTATAAACCATAATGAGGAACACACCCTTCAAAAGACAAGCACTCCTCTTCTTTGTCGGTTTCCTCCCACCATCTTCCCCCTGCGGATTCTCCACGCTAGTGCCGCAGGAGCTGATTGCGCCCCCTAATTTTGGAAAAAGGTACTGCAGCACTGGGATCACTTCCCTACGATCTTCTTCTTCTTTTTTTGGGCGGTTTGCAAGCAACTTATTGATGCGCATTACCGCCATCTATTGGAATGGAGTAGGGCTCGGGATGCTACATTTACATTTTCCCACATAAAAATAACAAAAAAACTTAATATCCTTTCTATCAATTTCGTTTTCTTAAGGTAATTCATTAAATAAAAAAAATATTTAGAAGTAGAATTTTTTTCCAAAATTATTGAACTGAAATTTATTTTCTTGTAGTTGACATTCTAATTCCCTTCTCTCAACAGAATATTTAGAACAGAACAAAAAAAACATGTTTTAATGTCTCTTCTTGAAGACAAAAATCACAATTTCCTGTTCGATGTTTCCCCATTTTAAATAATGTACTATTAAACACTGTATGACCAAAACGTAATCTGAATATAATGGTTTCCTGTTTTCTATTTATTCCTGTTCTCCTCATTCCACAATCTTTTATTTGAATACTGTAAAGCCTTCCAGTTCTATACCTTTGCCATCTTTCCTTAATAATAATAATAATGTTTAATAATAGATTTAATTTCTTCTTTACTGAATGGTACCAATCTATCAATATAACTATTTTTTTGTAGCTTGTTTTGCATATTTATCTGCCAGCTCATTTCCTTTTACTCCTACATGCGATGGTATCCATGTAAAAGTAACATTGTCTGAATTCTATAAATTAATAATTGAATCTCTAATAAAATGGCTGGTCTACTAATAGAATGATTGTTTTTTAATGAACTTGAATCAGAACATAATATACTTCTCAGATGTAAAAATTTATTCAATCTATCCTAAAGTCAAAATGATTCCCATCGTCTCTCCTGCATAAACTGATAGTCCATCAGTAATTCTTTAACATTTTCTAATACTGAATTCTGGAACAACGAATGACACCCGACTTTTGCTATTTGTATTTTTTGAAGCATCTGCATGAATGTGGACATATCCATAGTACTTATTGTCTAAATAAGTTTGTACTGAATTGGATTTAAAAGGTTTTCTTTTTTCCCCTTTCTCCAACAAAGTAAAATCAACAACACTATTAGGAAATATAGACGGATGAACTGGTGTAAGAGGAACTGTTTGACTGATATTTGTACAAGCTAAATAAAAGTATTTTACAATGTTTTCTATATAAACCAAAACAATGTAAATTGTTTTTTTCCTTTTCCCAACTAGGTTTTAAAATTTCTTGACATGGATGATTTCTATTATGGCCCTTTAAATTACACCAATATGATAGAGTTTTATTGATGGCTCCTGTACATAACCTCAAATGCTTGATACTGGATATTATCAAATTTTTTGAGTAGTGTATCTGAGGCTGATCCAAAAGCTATACTGCCATTATTTAATACAGACCTTCTTAAACCAGTACATATTGCTTTCAGTGCTTTTCTCTCAGCACCCCACTCACTCCCACCAAACACCTCATTACATTTTAAACTCTCTTACACTTATGCACTATTTTTTGAATATGAATTTTCTAAGTAAGTTTTTCATTCAACCATAAACCCAAAAACTTAAATTCCTTTACGCGTTCTAATTTATGAATATTATTTTTGCAATTTTAAAATTTCAGATACTTTCTTTCTCGTAAAAAATAATGTCTTTGTTTTGTTTATAGAAATTTTAATTCCCCACTTAAAAGACCAATCTTCTATATTATTAATTGCTTCTTGTATCTTTTTAACAATGAAATCCATTTTTTCCCCTCTTCCGTATGGCTCCATCACCAGCGACTGAAGAAAACCCCATTCCACTCTCCAAATTGTCAAACATATCATTAATAATAATAGAAAAAAACAAAAGACTCACTATACTTCCCTGTGGTGTACCATTTTCAACAAAAAACGTTTCTACGTTTTCTATAACAAAATCTATCTTGTAACAAAATCTTTTATCCAATAAAAATGTACCTACTAATTTCAATTTTTTCAATTTAATTAAAAAACCTCTTTCCACATCATATCATAGGCTTTCTACATATCAAAGAAAACAACCACCGTACTCTCCTTATTAACTTGCCCTTTTCTGATTTGATGTTCCAAACATAGAATGGGATCCAAGTTCTTAATCCACTTTGAAATTTTGATAAATATCCCCTCCTCTCAACAAAATAGCTCAGTCTTTCATTTACCATTCTCTGCATTATTTTTCATATGTGAAGTTAAAGCAATCGACCTATAACTTGCTGGATGGACTGTGATTTCTTCTTTCCATGTTCTAGGTAAAAATCCCACTTCCCCATATCGTATTATAGAATTCCAATTAAACCTTTTTATATGCATCACTAAGCTTATTAACCATAATATAAGTACCGGTAATATTGTCTTTTCCTGGAGATAAATCCTTTGACTTCCTTAAAGCATTATTTAATTCAAATAAAGAAAAAGGACCATTTATTAAGTCATTACATCTTACATTTTCCGGTAGTAAATCAACATTTTGTCATGAAGCGGTGTTTGTATGGAGGACCCAAACGCAGAGACCAGTGGGCAGAGGTGAATTAAAGTCTGTTTATTTTGGTTCACAGATCCAGAAGCAGGAATCAGAGTCCAACTGAAAATTACAAACGTACCAGAACCAAGGAGACATCAGGGGTAAACCAAAACTAGGAGCCAGGGAGAGACGAGACAAGGCAGGCAGATGATAGACGGGAAGTAAGACGAGGATCCAGCAAACAGGAACTGAAGAGGGAGGGCTTTTAAAGGGGACAGAGACTAAGAGAGAGCTGACGAGGAAATTGACAACAGGTGCAGGCAGGACAGAGAAACAGAGCAAGGGAGGACACAAGAGGGCAGCAGAGGACAACAAATGGATAACCAAGAAAAACAGGAACAAACAGACCAAGACTCATTTTCTTTGATGGTACAAGCTCTTCTCTGTTTTCCTTCTGTATTCAAATTATTACAACTATGAACTTTAACAAATGTTTTAACCAACATGTTTGCCTTCTCCCCCTCAGTCACAGCAATAAAATTTACATCTTTTAGAACTGGATATCCATATTTACTTCTAATTCAATTCATTTGTTTTATCATTCGCAAAACTTTAGAATTTATTTGTTTCCCTACCTACCGAAATACAAAAGCTTGCCCAATAAACCCTTTTTTTGTTGTTGCAGTTTTCACAGTTCTTTTAATAAAAACTTGTAACCTTTTATATTCAATAAAATTATGATTTCTCTTTAACAATCTAAAAACTTTATTTCTAGATTTAATTGTAACATTGAATTCCTTTGTCCACCATGGTACTATTTTCTTCTTGTATTTTCCTCTTTTTCTTTTGGATTGTTTTACGTGCATCGATTAAAATGGCTTCACAAACAGAAAAATTAACCTTATCAACATCCAAATTTATATTAACCTTTTGCATTTCTTTATCACTTAGTATTTTATATTTTTCCCAATCAATATTTCCAAATGTCCATCTTTCTTACACTTTCATTTTCATTTGTTCTGATTTCTAAACAAATTTCAAAGAGTATAGGATAATGATTCTTTTAATACTTTCCAATTACTAATTCTGACAAAATTTTCTGAAACTAAAGTTAAACCTAACGCTGATTCATATCCATTTCTAATATCTATCATTGTCCCTTCTCCATTAATAAGGCAAAACATTTGTTTTCTTTCCATTATTTCTTCCACATTCTCCATTGGCATCATTCCTATTACGGTACCCTACAAAGTATTAAATGCATTAAAATCTCCACAACAAATTATCTTTCTTCCCATATTTTTAAACATTTCCTCCATTTCATCTAAAAATAGTTTTTAAAAGGATTATAAAAATGTAGTATTTTAAGACTTTCTTTATAATCCAAATCTCAACAGATAACCTTCTAGTGTTAAAAATCTATACTGTACAACTTTTTAAATAAATATTACACATCCTCCTCCACTTTCTATTGCCTTTGTCTTCTAGTACTATCATATCCTGCTATCACAATATCTAACTCGGGTTTAAGCCAATATCTTTTCAGCACAAATAATATCTGGTTTATTTTCCAATGATTTAAAATATCCTTCAAATTCTTGTCCATTTGCTAATAAACGTCTTGTGTTCCAAGAAGTTACGTTGTAAAATAAACATTTAGGTTTTCCTTCACCTTATTTTCCATCTGTTTCAAGTCTTTTATTTATTAGCTTCCAAGATAAATCCCTCTTCTTCTTGTCAAGTTCTATAGCGGTTGTTAAATGAGACATTTTAAGATAAGTGATCAAGTCTACTGTAGAGAGCAACCAGTGTTTAACTCCCTTTAATAATCCAAAGGATTTTAATCTGATTTTCATTTGAGAGAGAGTGCTACTCTAAATGTTTTGGCAATATAAGAAAATGTGGTCAATAGTTTATCTTCTCCAAAATAGTCACATTTACCTTTATTGTGTCTTACTATTATTATCATTATTATTTTTTTAAATCCAGCGTTCCCAATTTCTTCCGTTTAAATAATGTCAGCCACCCGCCTTTCTTCTTTCCATTGTTTTCAATTTTAGGGACCTTGATATCTATTATAAATTAAAATGTCCCTAGTAGGCATTTGTGGAACCTTATCTGCAATTTCATTTCCTCTAATGAAAATCTGAGCTAACAATTCAACATTTTACATTAATTCTACACAATGTTTGTTGTGTTTTATTTCAGATGTCTTGTCTGATTTCTGAATAGCTGTTTTTCATACTTATTGATAATGAGCTGGAATCTGAGTGCCGTATTGATCTTACTGGCTGAATATCTTCACTCCACTAAGGAGCTATTGGTATTGCTACCATTTATCCTGCGAATATTGATTAGTTATCAGTTATAATAATCCTTACATTTTCTTCAAACCCAGGAATAATGTACGCTACACCAGTCTGATCCACTATATTCTTTAATGCCTCTTTGTATTGTATTGTATGTATTCTTACATAACCATA